GATAATTTACAAGCGAAAATCCAATCTTGTAAATGGCAATTCGCTTACTTTGTAGATTTTGAGGGGGTATTTAAATTTTCTTACATACAGTGTACAGTATCATTCTCGTAGATAGTAAGTTCACAAGATTACGTATGCAGCCAGCCTTGTTATGTAAATCTTTTCAAAATTATTCCTAACTTTGTCAAAGCCCTTCACCCTCCCTGTAAGCTCACGTTTCTTTTCCTGTAGAAGTTACTTGTAAATACAAATTATTTATGTTTATTTAGAATACGGCAAATGCATTTATTTGAAAGTAGAACCATCGTATACTTTTATCCAAGAGAACAAAGAAACACCCATTCATGAATGGTTACAAAAATTTATAAACATTCACAAACACATTTATAAATGATGAAGATTCAAAACAAGCGAATCTTTATCAAACACACAAACACCCTCAAATATCTCTAGGAATTTGTGTTTGTTAATAATGGTTTAAGGTTTTTCAAAAGACTTGGCCCAGACTTGGTTACACTAATAGAATTTATGGAAGAAACAAAAACATCCTCCTTTTTTTGTTTTGGTGTATAAATAAAACCCTCAAACAAATATCGAATCAGTAGTTTTGCAAACATGTTTCAAGTTTAGCTAAGTGAAACACAACTTTCACACTAAAAAGTTACTTCTTTTAACCAACTTGTATGGCTTTCACAGAAGGAAGGTAGTTCCAGGACGTCTCCACTTTCAATACCCAATATCCGTCCTCACCTAAGCTCTAGAAGCTGATTGAATCTCCTAGCGGTTATCCCTACACCTCTGATTGAATTTGCTTTACGTTCGGGGTTTTTATGACTGTGTGAAAATTAAACTGAAGAAACCTATCTCAAATCCCACTAGCGATCTAGCATTGCTTAGGCAGAAAGGCAACGTTATTTGAGGCCTTATTGCAGGGGTTTTTATCGAGGTTGGTTAAAACAAGTTTCCACGACGTTTAAAGATCTAGGAACTAATTCCAAAAAAATAGGAGCATTACGAAACCCAAAGGCAACGATTTACAGCAATTTTTCCTTGATTTAAGTCAACTTACCACCACAGACAAATTTATGACGAAACACTGAAATATTGGTTCGTCTGTCCTAATATATAACTTTTACTATCAGCGTATTTACTTTTTTATGATTTATAATTTTGTATTCAATAAAAAATGGAATCCAGCATTACATCACTATGCTGCCTTGTTGAAAACTTGATTTATTTCCAACCTATATATTTAATAAATTATGTTGGTTTTCTTTGAAAATTGGGGGTTGTGATTGAGATGTAACTAACGCTTATGGTCTAGCGCACAGGTAAATGACAAATACAACGGTAGCTTTATTTAGGATTTCGCTCATAGTCTTTGATTTTACGTTTATAGGAAGCTTTAAAAGTCTAGTGTTACAGACCACCTTTCTTAATAACTAGGCTATTTTAAGCGTGAATTGTAATTTAATAACCTTATCCTGAAACCCTAATGTTAAACCTTTGATAACCTTAAATATATGAAAGGTAAAATATATTGCATTATTCTTTATGCCTCATGACAAGTTTTGAACACTTTTAAACCACACATCACTGGTTTAAACGTGGTAGGGCCACGTTTCACATCATCACGTCTGGTAGGGCCAAACATTATATTGAATTTTAATAGCTGTGGGTTAGTCTAATTTAACAAAAAAAATCCCCCTTAACAAAATCGAGAGCAATTATTTTAATTTGCTAACCATAGGATGACTTGCGTACATTTCATTAGTATAACACTTTTAGAAATCGTATCACCTAATCTTGCTTTAGAATTAAAAATTACACAATAAAGATAGAAAGGGTTTACATTACTTTTGATCAAAATATAAAACGAGGAACGTCAAAACTATGAGTCCTAGATGTAGATCTGCAGATGTAAATCATAAACAGGGAATGTGACGAAGAAAATCCCCCAGATGTTGATATAAAGGGACTTGAGTGGTTGAAGGGAAATTCTGGACAAGTTTCCCGGTATTATCATCACAAAGAGGTGGGGTCAGCAAAGGCTGATCGGGAGTGAATAATGCAACATGTAGGACTGATATCTTACTGGGGCACTCTGATAGAGATACTAGATCAACATGAACCCTTCTGACGACTATACGACGGTATACGTCAAGAGAGCTTCGTCTTGGAAACGCCCTACGTTTTGTCACAAAATTACCTTGTAGCTGCTTGAAAGGACCAGGATACCATGAGTATTTTCAAGTATTGTGATTTTTTCTTGTCGGGTATGAGCTATTGTCGTAGGTGATACTGTAAGAACTAGACGTTACATTTTAGTTTTGATGTCCTCAGAGGCCAAAAACACCATTCTTAAAAATATATATATACATGTATATGTGTGTACGTGAACACGATAACTCCTATAATTTTCGTCCGATTGTGATGAAAATTGGAATGAGTATAGCCTACAGGCTTGGATAAACTTGAATCAGTTCGCGAGCCAGTAAGATCGGGTAAAAGGAAGAGGGTGTTATGTTATGGAGGTTTTAACAACAGCCTTGTATATTGAAACGTTGTTTATACGATATTACGGAGAAAATAGAACGAAAACTGTAAATTTTAATTCTTAAGTTATTGTTTTGGAGAAAAAGTAAAAATGTTGTAGTTTGCTTATTAATGGATATATTTTGATTGTAGTGTGGGAAAAATGAATGTTTTGACTATTAGACAAATATGATTGATTCAATTTGCGAAATCGTAAGTAATCTATTTGACTTATTTGCTTATTTTCATTTATAGGCTAAATAAAGCTCCCTCTTCACTTTTTAGTATGCTAAATTACTTTAAGTATTCAGCCGAAAATTTTTCTTTCTCTTGTTTTGATTTTTATTATCTAGTTCTTCATTAGGATTCTATAAATTAAACATGAGCCCTAAAAATACAATAATATTATAATGCTAGAATCTTACTAATATTATAAATCTAAAAGTTTGTGAGTTTGTGTGTATGTTTGTGTGTGTGTTGCTCAATCACGCATAAACTACTGGACGGATTGGGCTGAAATTTGGCATGATGATAGCTCACATTCCCGATTAACATTAAAGCATATTCTTATCTCAACAACCCTTTCGGGCTCCGCCCCAGTGGCTCTGTAGTTCCCCATGTTAATCTTATGATTTTTCATATTTAAAAGGAATTAATGAATCTTAACAGCTGTTTCAATTTTAAACAAGTTGGTTCTGTTCTATGATGTTCAATAGCATAAAAGTTACAAGGATTACCAACAGGGTGCAGCACTATTATTTTTTTATATTTATGACAACAGCTAATTTCCAACCAAAAGGTGAGTGAGCGTAGCGAACGAGCTAACCTGAAGGCAAGTGAGCGTAGCGAACGAACTTCAACCAGGACGTGAATGAGCCATGCGAATACTTATGAAGTTAAATGGGGCGAAGCCCGGGGGTACAGCTAGTTTTAAATAAAAATAACCTGCAATTGAGCAGATGAAGCAGTTGTATTATCACATTACGTACTCTTATTATCAAATTATAAAACAAACTTACCCAAGAAGCTAAATTAAGCAAACTTAAACAACTGTACTCGCACAATGCTTGTTTGCTTATAGGGCATTTGCTTGCTTATACACCCCGTGTATTCGCCATATGATCTAATTGGTCGGCTAAAAGGAGATTCTACAAATAAAGTCTAATCTATTTTACATGATCTACTTCTGTTTCCAGAAAGTTCTATATTCTCACAAACAGCCATAAGCAATATAAATTGAAATTATTATTTTTCATACAATTTGAGCAGAGTTAGGCCCTAATACACAGAATATTTATAACAGATCAAAATTGAATATTGTTTTAAGTATTGAAATGAGGTCTTAATGTCCATTACACAGAAAATAAAATAATTGATTTGAAAAAATTGTATAACCAAGAAAAGTAAATATGGTAGCTATTCATTAATCGACGCTAAATCCTAATAAAATATTCACAATTTCTTAGGTAAAAAGTATTTATATGCTTTTCCATCAAAGTCCTTCTCAAAAACTGCTTTTTACAACTGCATTTAATGTAACCACTACAGTATCATGAAAATATCACCCCCATTAACCTAAGAACAAATCAATCCGACTCTCGTAGTCTTCATGTTATCATAGTATGGTCAGTTGATATTAAAAGGAAAATGATGTAGTCCAATTTGGATTTTGTGATGACGAGAAACATAAACTATGCCACTGCAAACCAGGAAGAGAGACAGCTAGTTAATGATAAGTAATAGGCTATAGCTGTTGAAAATTGAAAATAACATCGTAGTACAGTAGTTATCTTGTATTGGTTAAATTAAATGTTGCATTAACACTTTAACGTTTGAAAATGATACACAGTATGGTTATTAGGTTAATGAATAATGAGCTTTCAACGAAGGCTCTAAGGCTTTACTAAGATTGTTGAAATAAATAAATGTGTGTTTAACATACATCAATGTTATTTTAGAAAGTTTGTAATTGTATATTCAAGCAAACTTTAATATATAATATAATATATGTACCACTAAAAAAGAATCTCCTCAAATGTATTACTAGTAAGTTTTGATGAACTGTTATTTCTATAAAATCTTAACAAATTTAAATAATTAAAATATTTTGTTACCCTTCAACAATAAATAATGTAACCCCTAAATATGTAAGTTAATCAGTATTATAACAATGACCATATAGTGTACATGTTTATTGCACATAATTTTGAAAATTTGAATTTGATTTGAAAATTTTGACATAATTTAATTACAATCGTTACTGTACTATACATAATACTAATATCTTGGTACTATACAATACAATAATGTAATAGGTAATACTATATACAATAACATGATACTACAGTTTACTTGCAGAAAAATCCCAGGGTCTACCATACTTTGAGAACAAAGAAATACGTATGACTACTCTAATTGTAGCAAATTGAATTGAAATTGCAGTCAAATTATCAGCTGACACTTACTTTTCCAGCTAGTATGATGACGGCCAGTGCTACTGGTAGGAGAGGAAGCATAATACCACTATAACTCGACGCTGGCTCCCGCGTCCACACATCTTACCGCTGCCTCTGCTCGCACACGACTGACTGATGATAAACTGGGCTGCAGCAGTGGTACCAACCGAATAACGACAAACTTCCCTCGAACACACATAGCTGCCAACACAACAAACGTAAATATCCCCATAAAAATAGACAGAAAACAGCCTAGTTAAGTTAGTTAAGGTTAAAGTGTTCACATGTATCGTTACATGAAATACATCTTAAACAGTAAGGAAGTAGAAATAGTATATTTTATCACTAGGGCGTAAAGTGACCATTTTCGACCCGAGCTTAATTTTTACTGAAAAAATGAGCGAGGATTGAAAATAAATTTGTTGTCATACTGCAGCAAAAACACAGGAATTCTTTATACGTGCGTTGCAGGTCTAAAGCTGCATTTTTACTGCCTAGGGAGTTAAACGTCTTTTTAGTCCCTAGGGAGTAAAAATAAGCCGTTTTACACAGTTTTTAATTTTGATTGTAGCAATCACGTGGATCGAAATGATTTATAGATTGATTTATGAGGTAAAGTTTTAGCTATTGTTGAATTCTTGTCAGTAGTTCTATATATCTATGTTATAATCACAAACTATAGAGTAAACATTACATATTCTATAGTCTGTGGTAACATGTACAGTAACACAATCGTAATAGATTCACTTACTAATCACTTACCAAACAACTACTTATTAACATCAACAGAATTGAAAACAAGCTGGAAGCCGTTTTGGAAGGTTATCTTTGCATGAAAAGTATTTCTATTTTCTAGCTTAGTTTGCTAATTATTGATGCAATATGACGAAAAATACACGGGCAAAAATTGCCTTTTCAACCCTCGCGCATTTTCTGACCTCGGTCGTAAAAAATGAGCACGAGTCGGAAAGAGTCACTTTACGCTCTAGTGATGAAATATACTATTTTCCCGAGTGATGAACTAAATTTTTGCTTTAATGCCATATTAGTTAACAAATTAAGTTAGAAAATGATAATAATAATATGATAACTATAATAATACGACTATAAACTATAATAATATGATAATAATAATGATAACTTGTTTTTAATTTTCCAACGCAAGTAAGCATCTGTTTAGAAAGTGATTCGACTATTTCGTCTATTTACACGATTATGTGTTTCTATTACGATTGTGTTCCTGCACATTACACCTTCATAATCTCAAAATATTGAAAATAATGCAACAATAAGCCACAACCGATTAAATCAACCAATAAATAATTTCAATACATAAGATTGCTTATAATCGAGGTTCACAAAAGCTGACTTTTACTCCCCAGTGACTAAAAAGGCTTTTACTCCCCAGGGACTAAAAAGGCTTTTACTCCCCGAGGACTAAAAAGGCTTTTGCTCCCCAGGGACTAAAAAGGCTTTTACCCCCAATTGACCTAAAAGGCTTTTGCTCCCCGGGGACTAAAAAGGCTTTTACTCCTCAGGGACTAAAAAGGCTTTTACTCCTCAGGGACTAAAAAGGCTTTTACTCCTCAGGGACTAAAAAGGCTTTTACTCCCCGAGGACTAAAAAGGCTTTTGCTCCCCAGGGACTAAAAAGGCTTTCACCCCCAATTGACCTAAAAGGCTTTTGCTCCCCGGGGACTAAAAAGGCTTTTACTCCCCGGGGACTAAAAAGGCTTTTACTCCCCGGGGAGAAAAAAAGTTACTTTAGACTCGCAACGCATGTATTACAAACTGCCGCTTTCCTATAGTATATGACGATAATAATATTAAACCAATACATATAATTTGTTAAGGGTAACATTTACAACGTCTAAGGTATTATACAGTAACTTATAAGGTTAGATAGGTTAGATATATTTTTTAAATCGAAAGATTGTTCACATTACGGATTTATATTTGCATAGCCGACAGAAAACACGACAAATTGCAATCAGACAAATCTTCTATTGGATTTAGCTTTCAACGAATGTTAACTTTGTATTCGGTACAATCGGTAGTGTATTGACATGGACACATTCAGCGTTGGTTTAAATGACATTCCTGGAAAAAAGAAAAACAAAACACATTTGGCTTCGCATGACTTTTATAAACCCTGTAGTGAAACAGTAATATTTTAGAGTATTTAGGTATTGTTTTAACATTTTACTTTCTCCCTCTACACATAGTAGCCTATACGGAGAAAGTATTATTTTCGTCAACATTTTCGAGTTTGAGTTTTGAGTGGATATGTTCGTTTTGCGTCCCTCTGAACCCAAAAAAGTGGTTTTGGAAGTGACGACTGTGTGTTTTTCAAATTTGGCTTTTTGGTGATTTTCCAATAAAATAACTGAAGAGTAGATTTTTCCCGGAAATGGTTCTATTGATTTTCATAAAATTTAGTGTTATAGTCCTTTAAATTTTGAACAAAATGGTACAAATCCCATTTCCGTTAAAATTACGGCTCAAAAAATATTGTAGGTTAACCTATGTTATTTCTCCATTAAAATAACACAAATCAGATTTTAGGAAAAACCTCGGGTTTTACTTAAATTAATGTGTTATGGTCTTTATAATTCTAAACAAAATAGTGCAACCCCACATTGCTGTAACAATTCCGGTTCAAAAGTTATAGCAAGGTAAAGGTTATTCTTCTCTAAAAAATATCATAGCTACCCCCGCCACTTACCCATGGAAAGGTTGTTCACAAGCTTATGGGAGAAAGTGTACGTCAGATTGCTGATACCGTTTGTTATAGTATTAGTATAGTAGTTTTATTATTAGTTATAGTAACAGTAGTATATGCTACATAGTAAACAAGAAACGAAATAGTATATTTTATTACTAGGGCGTAAAGTGGCTCTTTTCGACCTGAGCTCCAAAAATGAGAGAGGGTTGAAAGGACACCTTTCCCGTGATAAACTATATTTTTCGTTATATTGCGTCATCAATTAACAAACTATGCCAGAAAACAAAAATTCTTTTAATGTAAAGATAACCTCTAAAAACTACATCAAAATTGTTTCGTTTCCGCTAATGTAAATAAGCAGATGTTTCGTAAGTGATTCAATCATTTAGTCTATTACGATTGGTTACAGTACATTATACCATAGACATGTCGAACTATTGAAAATAATGTAACCATACGCCGAAACTAACTTAACAAATCAATCGATAAATTATTTCCATCAATGCGATTGCTTACAATTGAAATTTACAACTGTTTACACAGCTGACTTTTATTCCCTAGGGACTAAAAAAGTTTTTTATTCCCTAGGGTCTAAAAAAGTTTTTTACTCCAGGGAGTAAAAATAAAACTTTAGACCCATAACGCTTGTATTAAAAACCGCTGTTTTAGCTGAAATATGACGAAAAAGCTAAGTCAAATACATTTTAAATAGCCTAAGATTAGTGATAGTTGCAACCTGATTGGGTTACGACCAACAATTTTTTTTATTGTTGTAAATTTGTGTATTTTTCACCTAATAACTCTGGAATTTCACCTAAATATTATCTCTGGAAGGCAAAACATCGCTACGAAATGAGCAATTTGGGATAAATACTACCAACCTCTCGTGATTAATAGTTCCTTATAAAACGGATAACAAATATTTAATAGCAGTCAATTAAAGTATCAGTAAATATTAGCCTATGAGTGCGAACTGTGTTCATGTATCAAAACTCACTACAACCGACGCATTTATAAGAAAACACAATACGACATAATGTTGAAAGGAATTCATCTAACAAACTGTGATTTTAGATCTAATTGCAGTAAACTATGCAACTTTGAAAATGGGGTTACTGAACAAAAATAGATTATAATTTTAGACACAAGACTGAAACGTACCCTAACATTGTCTTCAGCAGCAATAGGATGACGAACAATTAAATACTATATTCTAGACTATAATATTATAATTGTGGTAGATATAAAACAAAATATAATACATTCTAAACAATCCCAAACAATATTGTTTGTTTGCTACTTAACATATTTCTAGATTTATTCATCAGCAATAATTTTACTTTATTTTTCAAATGTTTATGTTTTGAGAAATTCATTCACGTGGAACTGCAGTTCCACAAAGAAAAGTAACTTTGGATAGAACAAAACACGTCAGGCGGATATTGGTAAGAAAGTAAATATTCGTGCCTGCCTTATCTTTCGCAGGCGCTGACATACTGCCAACATACACTACATAAATTCACAATATTTCCCTCCCGAGTTCAAATTTATTCAGATAGTTAACCCGATTTTAGAAGTATACAAAATTTTATAACTTGCTTTGCTTAAGAGTACCAGTTAAAATAAACGGTATCAGCAATCGAACACATGCATCTCATTCTAGATGTTTGACTCTTTGGGGCCCTGATCCTCGGGAATTTTAGGTTACTACGTTAGGCTTAAAATAACCATTAATTATTTTACCTACGACCGTTTTAGCGAATTTCCCATATAGGGAATAAGCTATTACCGTAGTACTCATGGTAAGACCTGGACGCGGGACCGATTTTTTTTTCGTTTTGAGGTCCCTAGAGGCCAAAAACACCATCCGTTCGAATTCATATATATATATATATATATATGTGTGTCCGTTAGCACGATAACTCGAGCAAAAATGATCCGATTTTGATGAAATTTGGTACAAACGTGTAAACCTACGTTTATTTGAACGAGTTCGCGATCCAGCATGATCGGACCATGGGAACGGGGGTTTACGGGGGGTTTTATGGGGTAAAAATAGGTTTTTCCCATTTTGACCCAAAAAACATAAAATTTAGCAATTTCTTTCCAAACCATTTTGTAGAGCTTAAAAAAACAAATAATTTAGTATATTGAAGCGTTATTATGCGCCTAATGGTTACGGAGAAAATTCAAAAAAATTGTAAATTTAAAATTCCCATGTTATTCTTATGGAGAATAAGTAAACTGTTGTAGTTTGCTTGTTTATGAACATATTTTGATCAAATTTGGAAAATGTTTTTATTTCTTACTAACTATTAACATTTTACAAAAAAAAAACAGTTTTACCCTCCCTGATGCAGCAAACCTAAGTACTTGTTAAACTAATTCTATTTGAAT